GTGTGTGTGTGTGTGTGTGTGTGTGTGTGTGTGCATATGCCAGGGATCAAACTCAGGACTTTGCCCTTGCCAGGCAGGCATGGCCCCACTGAGCTCAATCTTTGGCCTTTAAAAATATTTCAAAACTTTAGTAGACGTATTGATATGTGAGTCTTAAAAACAAAAGAAATCATTTTTATTTCGTTATTTAGCTACTGATATAGTTTGAATCAAAAAATGTCCCCCTGAAGCTTCATGTGCTCAGAGGTAGGGCCTTGGAAAGGAGATTGTATTATGGAGGTGCTACACTCACCAGTCAGTTCATCCATTAATGAATTCAGAATTGAACATGCTGTGGGGAGGTAGGACCTATTCCAGCCCCTCCTTCTAGTCTCTGTCTCCTGGCCACCTTAATGTGAGCAGCTCTCCTCTGCCTGGACCCATCTTCCATGCCTTACTATTTTGGATCCAGCCAGCCATGGAATATAACTCTGAGCCAGAATAAACCTCTCCTCCTTTAACTTGTGCGTGTTAGATATTTTTTCTCAACAACAAGAAAGAGAATAAGATGTATTTTGGTACAAGCAATGGAGTGATTATTCTGAGTCATATCTGACCATGTAATTTAAAAGCCTTTTTAAACTGTCTCACAGGAGGAGTTTAGAAAGTTATAAGAGGCCAGCTAGAGAAACCTTATAATGCAGTAAGCCAAGGTTGATGGGAGATTCTGGTCCAGACCAGAATGCCGACAGAAACACAGTTTCTGTCTGGCATGGGTACTTCTGGCAGCTTTTAACCATATCTACTGTCAGAAGCAGGACAAAAAAGCCAAGATGAATAATTTGAAAATTGTTGCTAGTAGCCAGAAAGGAAGTTCCTGTAAAGTTTGGAGTGTAATATTGAACAGTGTAAAATTGGGACCTATAGATTAAAAGATTAACAAAGAAGCCAAGCTCTTGGCATCATGACAATAGGACAGATGCCTTGAGGGTATCTCAAAAATCAACAAGACTTTATCCTTCAAAGGCTCAAGTGTGTAAATCTGTAAAACTTTCATTTGAGAAGAGAGTCCCTGGGAACACTGATCCAGCTGATCCAGAGCAGCAGCCTAAAGCATTAATTACCCTGGATCAGTTCACAGTGCTCAGCCATCTAGTCATAAGAGGCCTCTGCAGCCATTGTCCAAGGGGGCCTGGCTACTGCTGGAGCTGGTAGCAGAACTTGACATCATCCATGAGGTTCTGGTTTGCATTCAGATGGCAAGAGTTGTGGGGTCAGGGAAGCTTTCCTCTGGATTTCAGAAAAAGGCCTGGGTGTCCAGGCACTGTGCCCATGAGAGGGTAATGCATGAAGCTGTGAAAGTAAAGCTGAAAGAGCAGTGGAGACCCCAGGAAGTTGGAGATGCCAAGAATGTGGAAAACCTGAGAAAATATTCAAGCAGTGAGAACAACTGACCAATGAACACTGCAACCAGCAATGATATAGGGGCAAGGCTACCCTGGCCCTTTGAAATTCTCATCTTTTCACTATTTGTTCTGTACGTGGAGCTGCAAGATTTACACTTGTAAGTTTCCTGTTTTATTTCCATTCCTTTCTATCCCCCAATTTCTGCCCTTTAGAATGGGTAGATTTATCCTAGGTCATTGTATGTTGAAAGAGTTTAACTTTCTTTTTATTTTTGCAGGTGCTCTCAGCTAAGAGTTTGCCTTATATCTCAGAGCAAAGTTTGGACTTGGACTTTTCAGGAAACCTGAGACTGTTTAAACCTCGACAACTCTTAGAGATGACAATGCATTTTACATTAAAAGATGCACATGATTCTTTTGGAGGTGGGATCAGAATGTTACGGTTTGGGTTGAGACTGTGCCCTCAAAGCTTCATGTGCTCAGACGTGGGGCTTTTGGAAGGTGACTGAATTATGGGGCTGCTGTACTTACCAGTGGATACTCTGCTAATGGCTGAAACAGAGCTGAATGCACTTTTGGGAGGTGGGGCCCAGATGAAGGAGGTGGATCACTGGGGGAATGATCACGAAGACTGTACCTCCCTCCCCACTTCTTTTTCTCTGAATGCCTCCTGCCTGCCATGATGTGAGCAGCTTTCCTTCCATCATAACTTCCTGCCTTCCAGCCGGCTGATGGTGGACATCACCATGAGTCTACATTAACCTTTCCTCTTTCTGGTGTGGGTGTTTGATAATTTGGTCTCAGTGATGAGAAAGTGACTAAGACAGCTAGTAATATTATAAACACACATGTGGAAGAGAAAGAAAGTGACATATACTTAGCACATGCTACATTCATGTACATTCATGTAGATTTTATCATTTAATCCAGTGTAGTATTGTATGGAAGTTCAAACTCACATTCCAAAATCACATAGTCCTGCATTTGAATTGAATTGCACATCTGCGAACTTTTACTTAAGTTAGGTTAGATAAGATATGCCTAAATTTCCTTGTTTTGATCATTACAGAACCTACCCTGCAATGTTGCTGGAACATAAAATGAAAAGAAGTGTGTAAATCACTTAGCTTATTCTGATAGTCTGAACTGAAAACAAATTTTAAGCAGTATTGTTATTATCAATTACTTCTGAAGCTACAGTTATTATAAGCCCAATTATAAAAGATGGCAAAACCAAGTACAAAGATTTTATGTAACTTGTAAACATGTGGAATAGAAGATTTAGAATTTAAAACCTGATCTAAATCCAAATGGGTCATTAACTCTTATCACTTTTGTATTGTTTTGTTTTGCTTTCTATCAAAGCCCAAGTAAAATGCTGTTACTTTATGAATGAATATTAAGAACAGGAACACATTTCTAGGCAGGGTTTATTTCCTTATTCTCCTGGTGGGCTGAAGCAGAAGGATAATAATTGCTCCCTTATATATTTTGTCTCCTGTTCCTTTTCACAAGGTGTTGCTAGATAGATCCATGTATTTATTATTAAGTAGATGTTGCTCTGTAAATCTAGTCGCTTCCTTCTTTGTGCCTTCTCCTTAAGGGAAAAGAGAGAAGGGAGACACAATCAAGATGGGTTAGACCAAAAGCTAAATGTACACCACCGTGGACAGTGGGAAAGCTCGGTTAGGTTTGATGTTTGAGCTGTTTCTTGTTTGGCTCCAAGGCTAACATTCTTAGTAAATTGCACTGTGCTGCTCCTCCTTGAGAAAAACAAAGGTATCATCTTAGAAGCAGCATAGGAAGTAAGATGCTAGGAGAGTTGCACCAAGCACAGATTAACCAAAAAAAAAAAAAATGCAAATGAAGTCCTTTGTTTTTAATTCACAAGAAATCTGTTTATCTGGAGGTGTCCATTTTAACAAACATGTTCCACTTTTATGCATACTATTTTGTGAAGCCAGGTGAAAACAACTCTGCATAATTCCAGGACTCCTGGTGCTAGGATCTAATTTTAGAGCAGTGTTGTAGAGGTTGTTTTGGTCAGTGGGCAGGACGGGTGACAGGAAAATAGAAGATAATTGTGGCTTTGGGTGAGGGGTGGTGAGAAACTAAATGGAGTGAAGGTGTGGTAATAGAGAAAAGATATAATTCCTGCAAACATTCAGCTAGGTAAATACCTACAAGTGAGGAGGAAAGGAAAATGGAATAAACAAGGCTCGGAACTAGGCTTTGATGAAAGCTGAACAAGTTTTTAAATGAAGGTAAAAACAATTACGTAGAAACAAGTTGAATTTTAAGAGTTACAAGATCATAAGGCTATTGAAATGATAGTAAAATATACACAGTAAAAAAAATAAAGAAATTTGATATGACGATTATTCAATCACATAAAAGTCTGTATCCAACACTATGTACACTGTAATAGCGCCTCTCAAGTACTGTTTAGAGATACCATTGCTTAGATACCATTAAGCATTATTTAGAGATAACCTGGAACAAAATATGGTATTTTGAAGAAATTAATTAAAATGTCAAAATTAGTATTTTAAATCTCTCTGAACTTTTTAATCTTTATTTAAAGACTCTATTTGCTTAAATGAAAGATTCTCTGACCCAACACAAATAGAATTTAGTTTGATTGTCACTTGAATACTTGCAGCCCCTACATTTTTGTATAATGGGTCATATTTGTTTTAGTTAAAATATTGCCCCCAAAAGGATTTTTTTTAAAACTTTTCTCATTGCTTTGCTATCACCATAATCAAACAACATTCATTCCACTTAGGTTGTGCCAGGCTTCCAGACTGAAATCAAACACACAGTTTATTTGCACGAGCCAGGGACACTTCAGACACAACCTCAAATCAGCAATTCAGCGTTAGCACATTTTTTCATCAACGTCAGTGAATGATTTTTCATGTTTCAGGACACTAATTGGTTTGTTATTCTAGTTCATCCAGCTGCTGACTAAACTTCAGATGGAAAAGTTCAATTCTAAATTTAAATGAGGTATGTATTTTACTTTTATTTGGTGATATTCTATTGACACAGTCCCAGATAAGGCAAAACAACATTAATCTACCTCATCTTTTTATTCCCGTCCCAAGGATATTGCTAGTTTATAATTCTACTGGATAGGGAATAGGAAACAATTCTGCAGTGGTGATTAAATTCATCTTCAATTTCTTTATGAAATCTGAATCACAAAGATCTCTCTCTCTCAGAATGAGTGCAGGGCTGAGGCAATAATTACGATGTCAAGTGATGTCAAAAGTACATTTTTATAAAATGATAAAGCTCTAATCTCTGGGGTTTGAGTGGGAATCCTGTCCCCACCACAAAGAAGATGCTGCTACTATTCCTGTAGCAGTTGGTGGGCAGGACCAAGAGGGAAGCTGAAACACATAACACTGACCAGGACAGTGTCAGCAGAATGCAGGGGCCATGTGAGGATCTAAGGCCACCCAACCAGACTTAACTAGGTAGTGTGAGCAGAGCGAGTCCACAGACGGACAACAAGGAGGAGACACAAACGTGGCACAATTCAGTCTTCCACTTCTCTCCTCTTTGATGCAAGTAGGGCTCAGAAGTGAGGTTTTCTTATACACTTACTTGGATAGAATGAGACAGTGCAGATCTGTGCCTCCCTGTAACTGAGGAAACCGCAGCAAGTCCACGGGTGGTGCTGAACTTCCACCCAGTTCATGTGCAACCAGAGAGCTTCTGAGTTGCAATGTCAGCAGATCAGTAATCGGAGCAAAGTTCTCATCTTAAGTAGTTAGAAGCAGAACAGCAAAATAAGCTCAAACAAAAAATTGTAATGAAAAGACAGAAATCATTGAAACTGAAAGTAAAAAATCAGTAGGGAAGATCAAAGAAATCTGTATACCTTTATTTTAAAACATCAGTACTGTTCATAAATATTCAAAAATAGAGAGGACACAAATTAATATTAATGACAAAACTGGAGGCATCACTATGCATAACAATTGTAATAAGATTAATAAAAAATACTATGAATACTTTTATACTCATAAATTTGACAACATTGAGGAAATGGACTGATTTCTTAAAAACCACAAAATACCAAACTCAACCAAGAAGAAATCGACAACCTGAATAGTCCTATGACCACTAAGTACATAGAATTTTAATTGAAAAGCTCTTGAAGAAGAAATATCCCCACTTAGATGGTTTTCCTGGAGATTTTCTATAACACTTTTAAGGAAGAATTAACACCAATTTTACACGCTGTAATCCAGAGACTATAAGAGGTGCAAACATAGTCAAACTCATTTTGTGACATCACCTCACTATCGAAACCAGGCAAAGAAACTACAGACTAATATCTCTCTGAACATAGAGACAAAATTCTTCAAATACTTAGCAAAAGGAACCCAACAATGTTTACAAAACATTTATGTATTATGATGAAGTAATATTGGTTCCTGTTACGCAAGACTGGTTAAATATTTGAAAATGGAGCAAGCCATATAACTGAGCATGTTAACAGACTAAAGAAAAAGTTCACAAGATGATATCACCAGGCATAGAGGAAACACTTAACAAAGTCTTATATACATTTATGATAGAAAATTTCTAAGCAAATTTATAATAGAAAGAAACTTCTTGATTTGATAAAGAACATGTGCAAAAATCCTAAAGCTGACCTTACATTTAATTGTGAAAAATTCAATAGTTTCTTTTTATGATAAGGAACAAAGTACAGATGTATGCTTTTACCAGTCTTATTCAACATGGTGCTGCAAGTTCTAGTTATTGTAATAAGATTTTTTAAAGTGAAACTATATTATTCTCCAGAGGACATAATTGTGTGGGAGATAGCAAAAAATATGAAACACTCATAAAATTTAGAAGTGATATCTGCAAATTCAATAATCACAAATCAATAACCTTTCTACATACTAACAAGGAACATGTGGAAACCAAAATAAAAACACAATACCATTCACAATCACTCCCAAAGAAATGCAGCAGTTAGTATTCAGGTATACATTTAGCTAATCACGTACAGAGACTCTGTTCTGGAACCTACAAAATTCTGATGAAAGAAATCCTAGGGTAATCTAAGTAAATGAAGATTTATATTGTGTTCACAGTAGATATCAAATGGAATTCAATTTCTATCAGAGTATCAACAATGTCCTTTTTTAGACACAGATAGACTTATTGTAAAATGTGTATGGAAAAGCACAATATCTAGACAAGCTGACATAAACTTGACAAAGAATAAATCTCTCTAACATTCAGGCCTGTGGTACAGTTACACTGATCAAGACATTATGGTAGACAAGTATAACAGTGAACAGAATAAAAAATCCTTAAGGAGATCCACATCAGTACAAAGTGATTCTGGACAGAAGTGAAAAAGCAATTAAATGGAAGATAGGAAAGGAGTTCTCTCTACATTTAATAAGGTCTGTTTCTTCTCTGTTTTACATTCCATTAGTAAAAATGTTTGACAAGACATGTGGACTCAATTAATTATTTACAAGTTAAATGTGTTATACTATAGTAACTTACAATGAATAATATGTACAAACTATATAAATTGTAAAGGTATGAAAATTTAAATCATGATTCTAATAGTTTATTCCTTCAGCTCAATGGAAGATCTTGAAAATAATCATATCATTTTGATGATGGCCATGGTGAACACATAAGCTGTTGAGGTTATTTTCTTCTTTTTGTCTTAGTATCACATGATTTCATTTTTTCCCCTAAAATCTCTTCCCCAAAATAGTACAAAAGACAAATAGAGGTGACATCCTCACAGGATTAGTGAGAACCTAGTATTATTCTTGAGGTATTTTCTGTATTATGAGTAGTAGAAACTTACCTGTTTTCTGGAGGCGTGAGAAATATGGAGAATCTTTGGCTTGCTCCTTATATTTAAATTTTTTGTAGCACTAAGATGCAAAAAATAAATGCACTTTTAACATTTTCTCTGAGTCAATCCTTCCTTACACTCCACTCTTCATACTTAACTGCCAAATGCATGGTGATTAAGAGATGTAGCTTTCCATATATACGCGTATAGACTTTTAGATTTGGTACTGCTGAAATGTGATGAAGCTTTATGGTTCTAAATACATTACTATCAAATTTTTATGTCCTCCATTTCTTTATTTTTCTGCAGTTTATAAAAACAGCTCATAACAAACAATCTCTGAGGCTTTTCATAAAGTTGAGGCAGTATTGTCACATTATATTTCTTCTTAGATGACTTATAGGGATACTTTAGTAAGTAAATGTTAGAAAAATGCTTTGTAAACTCACTATAAATAAAAAACATTTGGAGAATATTGAAGAAGGAAGATTTCTAAAATAAGAAAGTGCAACTTACATATACAATCAGCTTTAAAAACTAAAGATTTTAATATCAATACAAAAACCCAGATAACAATGAAAATACTGTGCTAAATTTAGTAAAGAACCCCATCATCTGCAACAAATATTAACGAAAACCCATCTTATCTAATTCTGAATCAGCTGAAGGGGAGATGCTAACAATCAATACCCAGGGTGTGATGTGAGGGAAGAATGAACACGGGTACCTCTAAATTCTGTTGGGTTAGGCTAAAAATAAAAGTGGTCTTTAGGATGCACTGCTTCCAACTAATCAAAAAATAAGTAATAATAAACTACTCAAAAAATACAAACTCGAAGTATAAATAAACATTTTTCATAAGTAAAAAATGACAAAAGTTGGTATCTCCAAAGATTCACTGACTCTACCTGTCAGGGAAATAAATAACAGATCACCATTACAAATTTTATTTGTCATGTGCTCCATACTTAGAAACATTTAGTTAGAAGAACTAGGTTTCCTACCTACCGAGGGAAAACAATAGCCTGGCTTTACATTTCTGTTCAGCAACTTTACATATGAAAAATGGCGCTGCCCAAGCCCAAGTGTTAACAACGCAAATCGAGGACCTATCAGACCAGATTGCATCTACCTGAGCTGACTATAGAGACATCCTCACTCCCACCGAGCCACTGAATCCCTTACCCATGAACGATCTTTTAAGAATATGTTTGAAATAAGCTAGTCAAATGAGACATAAATCAAAACAAAGAGCTTACAAATAGCAAAGGCACAGTTCAAATCTTGGAATTTACAATGTTTGTTTTGAAACTCAGTCCTGAGCAATGGGGTCTTTCTTTCAGGACCTTCCCTCTTTCTGGTGAAATCAATTATTTCATAGGTAAAAATGACCAAAGAAACATGAAGAGACTGCAGGAGGAAATATTAAATTCTGTGTAGAGTTCCCAAATACTTCACCACAAATGTCAGAAAACAACATGAAGACCACAGGGAAAACAAAACATAAAAAAGGAAATTTTGTTTATATTCTTCAAATATTTCATTTCAAATGCATTTTAGATGAAAAATTTGACTCAATCTTCTAGCTCAGTAAGAGCAAACATTTTAGAGACCAAGTGTTCAAACTGCAGCCGAAAACTCACTTAATCATCACAAGTGCCAACACTGGCCGGGCGGACACTATTACCCACTGCTCAGCTGCTGGGGCAAAGCGGGGGTCACTTGGCTAGTGTGCCAATGGAGAGGGTGTGCCCACCACAGCACCGTGCCCACTGCAGCACACATGGAGTTTCACCACCACTGTACTAGTTTTTCTTCTATTAATTCACTAGTTGTTGCTTTCTTCTATCAACTTACCTCTTGATTGTTTTCCAGATAGTCAACTTTATTATTTCTAATATTTCGAGGTTTTCAATTGCATATAGCATCCTAAGAAATGCTCTTGCATATTCATAAATATATTTCTATTTATGCTTATTTTCTTAATACCTATGTTCAATTTGATTTCTCTTGCTAATAATGCTGGGTTTTCTCAAGTAGTCAGTGGTTCTTAATTATTTCCTCGTATTTGTATTGAGAGTCTCTGTATTGCTGGCTGCCTGCCTCTGGTGACTGTGAAGAGAAACTAAAAGATGTACCCTAGCAGCTAGTCTTTGGAGTGGATACTGGTCATCCCTGCTAGATTTATTAACAGATTTGAACACTTTTTCCCCCCAGGTTTCAGCAGTTGTCTTCCTTTACCCCACAGGCAAACACTCCACTACCCACTACTCAGCCAACGCTAAGAAAAGAAAGGGACAACTGCCCAATCACTTCAAATGAGGCTCCAAATGAGGAGATCACCCTAATGTTTTTTCTTTCCCAGACTTTTGTCTGTGTGCCCTGATAGACTCTTGGCAATTCTTCAAAATTTCTTGTCTAATGTCCTTGCTAATTACATCTAAGTGCAGAGTTAGAATGAAAGAGAGTAAGAAAAGACTGCTAGGGCAGATAACGTTTCAACAGGGACTTGAAGGACATACATATTCATCCATGCTGGGTAGATGCAGGTAGTGGGAATAACAAGTACAAATGCCCAGAGATAAGAACATGGGAGTGTAACATATTTACAAAAATATGAAAGTAATCCAGGACAGAATAGCGAATACGTAAATGGTCTTTATTACATAGTAAGTGAGTATAAGAATGGGAGAGATTAACTTGGAAAAGATTGATCAGCCAAGAACTTGCGAAACTTGGGAAATGAGCTGACCTTTTAAAAAGGAGTTTATTTCCTATTTATGTAAAAAAGAATGAATTTGTTTGTTAGATTTCCACCGTGGCTTCCTCAAGGGCTCATTGTTTCAAGGTGGCGTTC